ACTTTTCTTTTTATTTCTGAAAGATGGGTTTAATAGTACCTACCTGTAGGGCTGTTTTCAGAACTAAATGAGTTAATATGTATAAAGTACTTACCTGGCAGGTAGTAAACATTTAATAACATTATGACATTTATTTCTTTAAAAGAAATCCTTATAGAGCACTATTTTTGTGGAACGCAGTCTTGTTCTTCTTTTTTTTTTTTGGTATTGAGGCTTGAACTCAGGGCCTCCATACTGAGCTACATCCTTAGCCCCTTTTTTATTTTGAGACAGGGTCCTGCTAAGTCACTGTATAACCCTGGCTGGGTTCAGACTTGAAATCTTCCTGCCTCAGCTTCCCAGAGTACTGGGATTACAAACGTGCACCACCACACCCAGGTCTTCTAACATTTTCTTAAGCATACTGTTGTCTATTTGTTCCTCCATCTCAAAGGCAACTACTACAATACTATAAGCACTTGGAACTGTGTATGACAATGTGAGGCTTGGAATTCAGAGACACCCTCTGATTTTCCTCATTCATCTCAGGAGCTGGTGTTAAAGGGTAGAAATAAAATTTCAACCCTAGGGAAACTCTGAGAGCCACATTACGCACACCTACACAACACTGAATGCTTTCCTTCGCTCGAAAGCTGGGCACCTGTGAGCCCTTCCCAGTCTAATCCCGCAGTCTCTAAATCCATCTGCCTGGGAGCTGCAATTACTACAGTGTTGGGCTATGGGATTTTACTGAATCATGATCTAAGGCAAGAGGGACAGCCCTTTCTTCCTACTTTCAGCCAGTGAAAGATGTGCTGTGGATGGGTCAGAGGGCATGGGACGATGTGTGTGAACACAGTCTGTGTGTGGTCACACCTACAACCCCTCCCCCATTTCCGGAACCCTGGTCTGAGGCTGCCTTTTCTACACTCTGTTCCTTGCTTTCTCTCTCAAGGAACCCAGCAGAGCGTCAGGTACACAGTTGACATTCAAGAAATATTCTGTAAGAGACTGAGGCAGGAGTATTGCTGTGAATTTGAGGCCAGCCTGGACGATATAGTCAGCTCAAGTCTAGCCTGAACTACATTGCGAGACCCTGTCTCAAAAAAACAAAACAAAACAAAGATAACTATTCCTTAAATTAGTGAATGAATGAAAGAAACCAGCCTCAAATATTTTGCTTCAAAAGCATTTTTAGGTTTCTTCTTTCACTTTTTTTTTGGAGTTGGGGGATGAATTATCTTCTCAAATATTCTTTTTCTCCCCGCTAACCCAACTCCTAACAGACGTCCCAGGGTGTACCCAAGAGAAAAAATTCCCATCCTCAAGCTGTCCCTGTGTTCCCTCATAGAAAAGCACTTCAAAGCCGGGTGTGTGACGCACGCCTGAAACCCCAGCCCTCTGGGAGGCTGAGGCAGGAGGATTGCAAGTTCTAGTCTGGTCTGGCCAACTTAGTGAGAACTTTTCTCAAAATAAAATATAAAAAGGGGATGAGGCTGTAGCTCAGTGCGCAGGCCCTGGCTTCAGTCCTTACTGCTGCAAACAAACACCCCCCACCATGCCATTATTAGAATTCATCTCCTTCTTTATGGCTCATTCTTTTCTTTATTGTAAATACCTCATTTGAGATATTTGCTGAATCATAGCCATGAGAGAAATTGTGAGTGTGCCATTCAGTCACCCTTGAACCCAAGCCTTGGTAGGCAGGCTGGTGTGCTCAGTCACAGGAACGCATATTTCTTCGCTCAGGGGTGGAGTGCTTGCCTAATGTGCCTGAGGCCTTGTGTTCAAGCCCTGTACTGCAAGAAACAAAACCCAAAATATCTTCCTGATGATTCCTCCAGTTACTGTCTCTTTTAGTGGGTATCTTGTTTTCTACCTTTTTTTCTGCCCAATTATGTGGTATTTTCACTTACAGAAACTTTCCCTCCCTCTCTTCTCCTTTCCTTCTTTTTTTGGCAGGGCACTGGGTATCAAAAGCAGGGCTTCATGCATGTTAGACAAATGTTCTACTGCTGAGCTATCCCCCCAGCCCTTGTGTTTTTTAGTTTTCATTTTTTATTTTGAGGGAGTTTCACTGTGTTGTTCCAGCTGTCCTCAAAACTGAGATCCTCCTGGTTCAGCCTCCCTATTAGTTAGGATAACAGGTGTGCACCATTACTCCCAGCTCATTTTGTTTTTATATCAATAGTACAAAACAGTACTTTTACACTTGGCCTTTTTTTCATTAATGGTACATCTTGGTGACCTCTCTCTTTCCATACATATGAAATATATATTTGATATATATTTGTTTCATTCTTTTTAACTGCTGCTTAATACTCCAGAAGATAGATAAATGTATCACAGTTTACTTATGGCTAGATCCTTCTTATGGTCTTTTTTTTAAATTTTGGAAGTACCAAAATTCAGCAATAACTTAAGCATGCATGTACCTGCTTCTTTAGGATATACACCAAGAAATGGAATGCTGGGCCATAGAATGTGCACATTATCCATTTAATAGAGCCAAACTGCCCTCTAAATTGGCTATATTTACACAGCTGTCAGCAGTATAAGTGTGTTAACTTCACTTTCCACTTTGTTTTGTCTGCATTTCTATTTTTATCACCTAGGCTGAGGATTGCAAGTTCAATGAGAAAAAGCCCCTGACTTCCTCACATCTGCATCGCTTCTTCCATTCAGAAGTGTTCCAGAATTGGACCTCTGAATGTTTGCTGAATGACCTCTAAGCACACTGTTTATTTTTTTTTCTTCTTTCTCTTATCTCTGTGCAATACACACTTTTCAAAGCATTTATCAAGATTGCATCTAACTCTGAGGTTATTTCTTAAGAATGAAAAACATTTTTGAGAAAGCTGGTTGAATTTTTGCACACCCTCCCCCGAACAAGTTACAGATATCTTTCGTCTAAAGTTGCTTGCAACAGAATTCATCTCCCGCTTTGCTGGCAGGAGGCAGAAAAAACAGAAGTGGTTGTCTCAGACAATAGCTGGTGGGGTGTCCCACCTGCTGGGGCTCAGCCGCCAAAGGCGCCTCACAAACCCTGGGAAGTAGACAAGATGGAATGGCAAGGGAGCAGGGTCAGAGTCGTTGGGACATTCTGGATCCAGGCATAGAGTCTTCAGAGAGTTTTGAAATAGCGGAAACCATCAATAATATATCTAAAGCCTGACAACGAATGGATCCAGGCAAGGCAGAACTGTGCTGGGGTAGGGAAACCAGAGGTGAGCAAAAGGAGCTATATTTTAAGAGGAAATTTGGATACAAGTAAAGAGCGGTTTCCAAGATGTGAATTATACCAGTCGAGAGAAATCTTCCCACTGGGCAACCCCTACATTTATTGATATGACAATCTCGGGCTAAAGGAATTCTGAAAGTCACAGGCACGGTACCATATCTTGGAGCTATGAACAATTAGTTTAAATGTAAAAAGAGTTTGCTAAAGGAGTAAGAGAGAACTTCCAGTAAAATATCAACAGACTGAGAATTACAGGTGGCTTAGCTTGTGTTGCAGGACAATATAAATTAAGTCATTCTCACTCTTAATAAGGTTTTCTTTTTTCTCTCACCTCGTGAACCGTCTCAGTAGCAACTGTGCAGCCCAGGGAGGATGCGACTGTATTTGGGGGCGATTTCCCACAGTGGACTGACAGCCCCCAGGGCTCCTGGGGTCTGTGGGCCCTCGCCTTGAATTACCCCCACTGGGCAAGGCTGGCCTGACAGCCGGTGCCGCTCTACCACAGGAACGGCCGCACAATCAGGCTGCGGAGCTAAACGCTCACTTACACACAGGGGCCTTTGGCTTTGGTTTCTCAACCCCTTTCTCCACTTTGATCCCCTCATCTACCTCCAGGCTGCTACTAAAAAGCCCCAGCAATGACGAGTCCTCAGGTTCAACCAGGAACAATCACACCGCTGGCAAAACTCTTGCAAAGGGAGGTTCATTGGCCCTTGGGGGACCGATGGACCGTGGCTATTGTTATGTGGAACAAAGAGGGCAGCAGCTGAGGGCGCCCCCACGAGGAAAGGCAGGGAAGGACACCCGCGGGCGCGATATGCCAGGCTGGCCAGACTCGGACCCTGGGCGCACCAGGACCGTCGGCTGGAAACTGGGGGCGGCAGGCAGGTCCCACCCGCCGCGCCCCGCGCCTGACTCCGTCCGGCACCCGGCTGCGCAGCCCTCCTCTGCGCCGCAACCACTTTACTTTTATTGCCCGTGTTCCTGTTATTATTATTTATTATTTTCCCGCGCAAAGCGCGACGCCGGGACTGCCAGGGCGAGCAGCGGAGGGGCCGCCATTTCCCGGGGAAAGCCCTGCGCGCTTCGCCACCGGGCGCCCCGGAAAGGGAACCGGAGGGGAGTGCCCGGCCCCGCGCCTGCCCGC